GAATCACATGATAAAACATTTTGCAATCTGACTAGATTCTAAGTGGTCAGAGGACTTCTCATCAGTCATATGGAAATCACTTTTTATGTTCATGACTGTGACACTGAGAATAACCTTGAGGCACTACTTTCTTCTCCTGTTGATAACAGGAGAAGCAAGATCATTAACACCTAACTTTGGAACTATAGAAAATAAACTCAAAGCATCAATGAAGATAAAGTCTCCTACAAAAGATTCTTGCAACAAAAAGTACCACACAAGTACCCTTAACCAATATGACTGGAGGAAAAAAAATCAAATAAACTAAATAAGCAAGAGATATTTTACAACACCAGTCACTTTAAGCAGAAGCTAGTCTTAAAAAGAAATTAATAAAATGTACCTCTTCTGCCTAACAGACAAAAGAAACCTAAAATACCTAAATGCCTCATGAAAACCATCAGCAGTTAATAAACACTTTTTTCCCATTCTGCAGAAAATAAAATAAATACTCATTTCAATTTGTCTTGTGATTCATGGCAAGTAGCCCATTTAATGCCCTTCTGGTATTATAGGCTTATTTTCAATTTTTCATACCTAATTTGGGCAAACTGTGAATAAAGGTTGTCTTTATCAAATTCATAATTAAAATAATGATACTTACTCTCACTTTTAACCATCTTGTATTGATGTAGTTTTTTAGTATTATTCATGCAAGCCCCTGTCTATCACTGAAGCACAGGCAGAGATTAATGGATCTTGCATAATACTGCAACACTGTCTACTACAACTGTAGAAGTTCTGAATTCTCGTAATATAGAAGTCAAGCATTTTGAAATGATCACGCAGACCCTCTCTTACCACAGGATGGACACAACATAAAAGGTGATTTGGCTGGTCTCTCCACTATCTAGGCCTACTTTTGGTAGGAGATGCACATGGTCAATGATAACAAGGCTGGAAAAGGGAAAAGAACGTCGTCTCTGAATACCAGGAAAAAGTGATTTCACACTTCACAAAATAGTGGTTACTTCATTCATATACTTAGTCTATATGATCTATGTTTGGACTGCATTATGTAAATACCAAAATGTACATATCCTTCTAAGGAAAACAGCTTTACGAGAATTATTATATGCTGCATCTTAAAGTGAGTAGCATCATCTCTATTCTTCATCTATTAAACCTGTAATTTAAAAAAATGCTTTCCATTTCAAAATTTTAAAAATTGTGATATCCCTTGCTAGTAACATTAAATGTATCCCTAATTCTTTTTTTTAAACACTTATTTATTTATTTGAGAGAGAGAGAGCATGAGTGGGGAAGAGAGGCAGAGGGACAGAGAGAAGCAGACTCCCCACTGAGCAGGGAGTCCGACGTGGGACTCCCTCCCAGGACCCTGGGATCATGACGTGAGCTGAAGGCAGACGCTTAACCGACCAAGCCACCCAGGTACCCTTAATGTATCCCTAATTTTTTAATAGGATTCTATGGCATATAGCTAACAAAAGTCTTTGTACCACTTTTTGAGGATCTGACAGAGAAGGAGAGGAGGTACAGGTAAAGAAATTTCTAAATTTAAAATTTAAAAACATAAAAAGACAAATTTGGGTAAACTTTTTAGAAGTGACTGATACTGTCTCATGTTGAATTATTAATTTGTTTAATGAGTTTATTTTAAGCATCAAAATTAAGACAGATTCAGAATAAACACAATATATACAAAAAGCTTACAAGAACTTAGTGTTGGTAGTCTATGAATAAAACAAGATTCAGGAAGACCTGTGATCAAACCCCAGCTCTACCACTTACTATTAATGCAACCTTGGGTAAGTTTGCTCACTTGTCTGAGACTCAATTTCCCTGGCTATGAAATGGGAAAAATACTACCTACCTCAAAAAGTACTGGTTGGAATTCAATAAAACAAAATAGAGTCTCTGCATGATGCTAGACTCAAAGACTACTACAATTTTTATCAAAAGTAGAACGTGAGTAGTATTTCACATGACACAAAATGCACCAGGAATTCTATCTAGATCACTGGCAACAAAATAACAATGTTGGTGGAAAAATCATTTAATTATTTTAGACTCTAAACCTATAAAAGAAATGGTTTGAACTAGACATGACTTTCTAAAATTCTAGAATTCTACCTTAAAGTGATGCCCAGAAATTTTGCTCCAAAATTTATTACAATAAATAACCCAGAGGAAAAATTCTAAGAACATCAAATGAAACAGGCAGTGTATATTAAGAATCTGAAAAAATTTCATGCACTTTGAGTAATAACCACATTTTTAAAAATCGATTAAAAGAATCTTACCAGAGTTGTGTACAAAAAGATGTTTAATGTTAATTCTAATTGGGAAAACTTAACTATCTTAACCATAAATCAAGAACTTACAAATCAAGTTCTCAAAAAATTCATGACATAGTAAGCACTTATAATATAATGCTGAATGTAAAGGGAAAAATATAAAACAATATTTACAGTTCTATTTCTTAAATGTTTGTAAAATAAAAAGACTGAAAGAAAAGCCAGCAAAATATTAGCAGACGTTATCTCATATTAACAGAAATGGGTTAGCTTTTTTTCCATTGGATTATTTCCCAATTTTCTTCCATACAACTATGATTTCCACAATGAAAAAAAAAATACAATAGTCATATTAAAAAAAAAAAAAAACTCTCAGCAAACTAGAAGCTAAGAAAACTTCCCCAAGCTGATGAAAACTGTTTACAAAAAACCTACAGCTAATTATTTAATGGTAAAAGACTGCATGCCTTACCCACCAAGATGAAAAACAAGGCAAGGATGCCTGCTCTTACATGTCCTATTCAACAGCATACTGGAGGTCCTAGCCAGTGCAGTCAGACAGGAAAATTAAATACAGCTGACCCTTGAACAACTCAAGGGTTAGGGGTGCCAACCCCCTCATGTCAAAAATCTGCATATAACTTCTGATCGAATGATAATTTTAATTATAAATTATATAGTTCAATAAACCTAAATTTTAAAGGACACAGGACATGCCCTTTTGAAAAATACACATCAGATTAAATGAGCTAAACCCATCTCACTGAGTTTGGGGATAGGGGAGACTGAGGAAACCAAAATATCCTTAGAAATACTGCAAATCAAAAAAAACCAACTTATCATCAAGATTTATCAGTAAGAAGAAACAGACACTGATAAAAGAATTAATCTAAAGAGAGTTGCCTTTTTCATTAAGTTCCGGTTGTTTGGACAGAAAGTAACAAAATCTGATGAGCTTACAAGAAAGACCATAAGTCACAAGGAACAGGCTGATAAAGGAGCACTGTGATTATGAGCCAGAATTTGGAAACAAGTTACCTAACACTCCCCTTCCAATTCACTAATGTCAATACTCTCATCCAGTCCAATGCACTGCCACCCCAAATTCTATTAAGAGAACTATAATAAACCTTAAAACAGCTTTCTTTATTTATAACAATCCTACATGCTTTAAAAATCATACATCTACAGCTAGGGGTACAAGATAAAAATGCCTCTTACTAGGCAAATTCCTATTTAACCACTTAACCTCCAGATCAGCTAATTCCTTTTCCTTTTTACTGTCACCAAAAAAATATATTAAATAAGTGCTGTCCCTCTGTGATGACTCTGCAGTTTCTTTTTGACTGTTAAGTATTAAGATGATTACAAAAAGCTCTAAGAAGTTTTGAGCTTATGACTCCAATAAGAAGATACATTTTTCCATGTCATAAAAGAGGTAAATTGTAACTTCCATCACTGTTTATTCCATTTGGCTTATACTGTTGCTAGGATACCAATTCATAATAAGATTTCCAAGCCCACGGAACAACTTTCCTAGCCAGCCAACTTTGTAACCAGGGCGATTGTGGACCACATAATTTTCTGGCTCGCCAGCACCACAAAGGTGCTCTCTCCCTGGCATCCCCCGTGCTCCATTCACCTAACAGGTACAGTAAGCATCGCCAATTCCTTCACTGCAACAGAAATTGTAGCACAGGGCAAACAGGATGATTAGAAGCGTAGAGCTCTCTGATGTCCGAGAACAAAATGAATCTATTGTCACTCCCTGTTCTCCCACCCAGCTAAATAGTCTGGGTATTTTGCCTTAAACCGTAGGGTGAAATGTTAGCCCACTCCAATCACTCCACCAAGGAACATGCAAACACTACTCCCAAAAGCCATCACCCAACTACCGCCCGGATAAATATTTGGAGAGGAAGGTGGCATCAGTATCTGTACAGTTCGGAAAGGAAGGGAAGGAAAGGAGTCGGAATTCTTAAGGGGCCGCTGAGTCACCTACAGCTGTGGCCAGGACTTCACCCTCCAGGAAATCAGGCTCTGCCCCAACTCCCACCACGGAAGCAAGTGAGAGAAGCAGCAGCAACATCATCCTACCAAAAAAACCTCCAGCACTGCTTTTAATAGTGTTACCACTCCTTAAAGTGAAGCCAGAAGTAGGTTTCACGTCCAAAGCTTTCCAGCACAGTACACACCACGGGCAGATGGAAGAAACATCTTTATTGTGGGGAAGGGGGCGCACTTAGAGGGATGAAGGATGCCTCACCACTTGGAAAGTTACTGGCTCCGGCCTTAATCCCAAAATGCCACTTGTATTGCAACATGTGGCCGAGGTCACTACAAAAGACATGTGGCTGACGGACGTTGCAGACGGACGTCACGCCGGTGTACAAAGCAAAGTGAGGGGGAAACATAAATCAGGCTCCATCGGTGAAAACCCGGCAAGGATCTAAGTCTCCGTTCGGTGGGAGGTTCGGTGACACAATAATCACGTGTACTTGTCCGTAGACGTTCGGAAATACTCGATTCTGGAACGTGCAGGGGCCGAAACCAGCCGGCAGAGCAAGTACCGGTCGGCACCGGCGGCCGGGTGAGCGCGGTGCCGTCCCAGCCCGAGGCGGGTCACGCCTCCGACTCCCGGTCCCGGCGACCTCCGGGGGCGAGGCGGAAGCCTGGCCGCGCTCCCCGCCCGCGCCCAGGCCGCCTCGGGGCGTACCGCCGGCCTCGCGCGGCCCCGGCCCCCAGACCCAGGCCCGGAAGGCGAGCGTCCGTTTACCTGCTCCCCGCTCTGGCTGCCGCCGCTGCCGCCGCCGCGCCGCTCACCCACGCTGCCAGGTGAGCCACCCAGCACACGGCCCCTCACGCGCACAGCCGGGGCACGACCCCAAACCCTTTGGGGGGGGGACCGCGACCCCAGCCACACAAGTTGGGCTAGCCCACGCACCACCCGGCTTCGAACACCTCTGCCCCCGGAAGTTGATTTCCTCCAAAGCCCGCCCGAAGCTGCGGCTGTCACTCAACGCCAACACGTGCGTCACGTGGCCCGAGCTGGCGGGGGGCCATCTTCAGAGCCACGCCTCCAATGCTTGACTAGTCCACGGGGGTTGCCTTCTGAAAAGGGATGACGCAGGAGCTACCTCCTGTTAGTTATAAGTTGTCGTTCCTCGTGAGTGACAGGCCCAGTTTCGATGCCTAATGCATGCAAATAAAACCATCCCCAAAATGATACTCCCATCTGGGATTCTGTAGGATTGTTCCTGAGAAGAGCCACGCCTGATCTTTTCACCACTTCCAGGCAGAGTTCAGTGAAAACGAATTTAGCCAAATGCCTGACAGTAAGTACTCAAGAAACAGTTGACTGGACAACTATTCCATTTCATCTTTGCGTATCTGAACTCTCAAGCGCGGGGATGCACCTAAGCCCAGAGCCTCTCCAGACCATAGGACATCAGTCAAAGACTGCTCAAGAATTACTTTTGTACTTGGCCCCAACTCCAGATCATAGCAATTTATACATGCCCTCTCTGTTTCAGAGAGAGTTTATTTTCAGCTGCCAAGCCACCCACTTTTTGCCAAGCCTTCAGTCAAATAATGTCTCCTGAAGAAAAAGAAAAGAGAGTGACATAACTATCAGGGTTTTATTTGAAAAGAAGCATGATTATATAGATTTTTTTGTCCATTTCAAAGTGTCAGTAACTGTTAAAGAGAAACAGTCAAATAGCTGGTCACCTGTTAAAGATTCTTCCATCTTTGACAGGGGAGGGATTTGAGGACCGTTCATTTAACAATTTTTTATTAAATGTATACTTGGCCTGCTGGCAATGAGAAAATGGACTGGATGCATTCAAGATGTTTGCCTTCAAGGAGTTTACAGTCTAGTGAGAGTGAGAAAGACAGACAATCTGGGAACGTTGAGCATAAGTCTCTGGAATATTCCCACCATCATATAACAGGCATTCTTTAACATTTTGGATGTTATTTTTCTCATCTTTCTACTGAACAAAATTGGTTCAAGCCTTTAATCTCTGCTGTGTACTGAATGTGGAAAATGTCAGCAAGTAATCCTAACAATTCTCCAGTTAGTACAGGCTTATGTGGTTAGGGAGTAGCTCCAATACTGAGCACAAATGTCACTCTTCTACACCCACTTTTTCTGTCCGCCATTGTCGTGTGCACAGTGAACAGGTTTCTATTATAGCAGATATGGTGCTTCCTTACCCAAATTTATTTACCTATCTACTACACCACTAAGACCGCTTTTCATTTGTATCTCTCTCAATCTACTCATTTGTCTTCGTATATGCAGCAATATCACAGTATTTAGTGATTAGGAGGTATTCAATAAATTGTGCAACCATCACCACAATCAACTTCAGAACATTTTTCTCACCTCAAAAGGATATCTCATACCCTTTGTCAGTCACTCCCCATCCGTTAGACAAGCACTAACTCACTTTATGTCTTTAGATTTGCCTATTCTGGACATTTCACATAAATGCAATCATGCAATATGTAGTCTTTTCTGGCTGGCTTCCTTCACTTTGCATCATGTTTTCAAAGTTCATTTATCCATACATCGATTGGTGGACATTTGGGTTGTTTCCACTTTTTGGCTATTAGGAATAATGCTTCTATGAACATTCATAGGAAGCATTTATTTTGTCAAGATAACATTTTCATGGGTATATATACCTAGGAGTGGAATTGCTGTGTCATATGCTAATTCTATGCTTAACCTTTTGAGAAACTGCCAGACTGTTTTCCAAAGTGGCAGTATACTAGCAATGTGTGAAGAAGGTCCTAATTTCTCCATAGTGCCTCTTATCTCCTTAGAACTTAAGTATATTAGAACTGATGGCTCTATTACTTGTCAGGGTATTTTTCATAAGCCATCTTGTATTATTATTTATCTTTGTTATGTATGTATCTGCAGGCTGCAGGCCCATTACCCTAATAGACTGTGACCTTCTGAGCTGAGAAACATGGTTCCTTGCCCTCAAGAGGATCAAGTTTGGAGAAAGATATCAACAATCAAATAGAGTAATAACAAGCACTGAAATCAAGTTTATTTTTAAAATATGGAGGAGGAGCACCTTATTCAACCTGCATTAAACAGGAAGTACTTCTCATAAAATGTAAAGCTCAAGATGAATCTTGAAGGATCAGTAGGAATTGGCCAAGCTAAGAAACAAAGTATGTTCCAGACAAAGGCATATGTATCTCCTTGCCTACAAACTGTGGAGGTAAGTATAGTGTGTAGGTAGGTATAGTGGAAGCAAAGGTGGTGATGTGTGGGAATGTGGTAGGAGAAGTGGGAACTGTAGATAGGTCAAGATGGATGGAGATTAATGGATTATTTAAGCGAGGTTGGGGGGAATTACTTCAGCAGCAGTGCACGGGATGGATTATTAGATAGGGAACAGGTTTTTCTCTGGAAAAACAGAGAAGCCAGTGAGAAGACTGATAAAATAACTAGGATGAAGAATTATGGAAGCCTGAGTTGAGGTGGTAGGTAGCCATGAGATTGGCAAAAAGGATTTGAAAGCAAAAATATAGGCAAGAACTGACGATGTATTCCAGGTTTCCGATGCTATTCAAAGAGGTAGGGGATTCAGGAGGAAGGTGATACACTTGCTGATAAGAATAGTGAAACACCACAATTTACTACTATTGAAGTTGATATGCTGTTGCAGTCACCCACAGAAATGAGATGGATGCCCACCTAAAATTTGGTTCGTATTTCAAGATTTCTGATACCATGCATGCACCAAGAGGGTGTAAGAAGGTTTATTAGTCACATAATGAGACTTTCTAGGAAGAGCAGGAAGAGCATTTTGGACTTCTCAAACAAGTCCAAAATGGCTGGGAGGGGGTGCAGGGAGGTTGGGAGAAAGACTGGCCCTTATGGTTTTTATGGTGGCTAGGGCCATGATACTGGGGTGAAAATTCCTACACAGGAGCCAGGGCTTGTGTGGCCTGAATTACCACTGGCACCAAAGAAGGGAGCACCCAGGCTTTCTTATCAGCCTGCCCAGATGTGGGGCAAGAGGGCATGATGAGGGCTTGAAAGTTGTCAACCGTTAAACATCAATTATGGAATCAAAGTCTTCATTACCTATGTTTAGGGTTAGGTTTCGTTTTGTTTTGTTTACTCCAGCAAGAAAATAATACAATTTTTATGTTTTTATGTGCTTTGAAAATGATTGTAGTGGACACTTGCCTTCTCAAAATTTGTTCCCCTCTTCCCATATTGTGCAGCACACACCTAAGCAGTTTGGGTCGAATTAACCTCACCCTTATCCCAAAGTTAATCCAATCAGGTTAATTCTGACCCATGATGTTCCCTTGGCCACAAATGGTTTGGGATTGAGCACCAGTCTTAGAACTTTTGCCCCAAAATTGTGTGATGTGCCTCCCGTTCTCCCTCTTGATGTGAATGAGAAAGCATATGATCCTTGTTGCTGAAGGCAGTCATCTTTTGACCAAGAAAATGAAAGAGAAATGGAGCTGAAACCCTAATCAAATAAATAAAGATCTATACCATTGTATATAAGCAAAAGGATGTAAAGTACAAACTGTGAAATTTTTAAATAAGCATTTTTCTGGCCCCTTTCTCCACTGGTACTACATTGTTCCATTATGTGAGCCTTCAAATCAAATCAACATAGAGTTTGACTTTTTTTGCTACTGATCCTCAGTATTGAATACTGAGTAGTGTATTAAATGTTGGTTAAGTCGATTTGAATTTTAAATGTGCACATATGTGTTACTTACCTTACTTTATACTCTAATTGTTGTCAGTTGCCATAATCTAGAATTCGCACTTTAGATGTATTCAGCTGGCGTTTAATCAGAAAGTCTGCATTCCAAACATAGCAACAATAAATGCTTCTGGTATCATTATCTTCCATTAACACCTGAGGCTTTGCTAATCAATGGATCTTTTTTTTTTTTTAAAGATTTTATTTATTTATTTGACAGAGAGAGACACAGTGAGGGAACACAAGCAGTGGGGGTGAGAGAGGGAGAAGCAGGCTTCCTGCAGAGCACGGAGCCCGATGTGGGGCTCGATCCCAGGATCCTGGGATCATGACCTGAGCCGAAGGCAGACGCTTAACGACTGAGCCACCCAGGCGCCCCTGCTAATCAATGGATCTTATAAATGGGTTTTCATAAGTGAAACTATGGGTTTTCTCTTAGTGTAATGACTCTCATTGAGGAACCAGTGGTGTTCATGATATATAGATTGAATAAAATATTTCAGAGATAGTCCCTATCTTGCATGACCAAGGTTATAAAAAGTAAACTCTGTAGTCTGCACTTTCAGGAACAGCACCATTCTGACCTCAGACAAAGATGTTTAAACTCCTAATACTCTTCAGTATGCCAAAGATGGAACAGTTTAATTTCTGCTTAACTAAAGGGAGAATCATGTTCATTATGGAGGTGACTGCAGACATCATGTTAATTATGGAGATAAGGAATAAATTATTTGTGCCTTTTCCTCCCCACTGCAAGTTCATATTTAGAATATTCCTAACACAGATGCTATTAAACTGAGATCTCAGGATGGGCCATTAAATTAAATTCAGACTGGCAGAGTATGAAGGCCTACTAGGAAAGAGAAATTCCAAGATACAAAAGTTGGACTACACATGGTCTCTGGCCATTGTCACTTGCATATAGAAGTAACCATAAGGAAATAGTTCAAAAACCTAATATGAATGGGAAAATATATTGTTAAATAAACCTCAAGCCTGACTGATAATAACTTGTGACTATTTAATCTGAAGATAATCCTCAGACTTCTACATTCAACCTAATAGGAAATGAGCTGCCAAAATAGTGTGACCTCTTAAAAAGAGCATCTTCCCCAGTGACCAGCTCAGATGGGGCCATAAAGGACACTGAGAGCAAAACAGTACCTGTCCAGAGAACCCATACCCCTGCCATCAGGAGTCCTCACTATTCCTGTCTGCAGAATATGACAAGGATCAGTGACTACTATGTAATGTTTCCAGATATACTCTTTTTTAAAAAAATTTTTATTTATTTGACAGAGAGAAACACAGCGAGAGAGGGAACACCAGCAGAGGGAATGGGAGAGGGAGAAGCAGGCTTCCCACGGAGCAGGGAGCCCGATGCAGGACTTGATCCCAGGACCCTGGGATCATGACCTGAGCAAAGGCAGACGCGTAATGACTGAGCGCCCCCCAGGAGCCCCCCAGATATACTCTCTATAATTGAAAGTTTTCATTGTAATTACTTTGTCCTTTGTCTTCCATTGCATTTTGCACTTATTGGGAGTAGGTAACTTGTCACTGGTTGCTAGAACGTAAGGAACTCCAGATGAAGCTAAAACATTTTGGAGAGACAGAAAGAAGATGTTCAATAATTACAGTTACTAATTACAGTGTTTGGTCAGAAAAGGGTACACTACAGTGGACGTGGTAGTTGTTATCCAAACATGAATTTCACTCTTTCCCCATTGTGTGGTATACAGGTATATTGGGTGAGATTAGCCCTAAACTTTTCTAATGTTATTCCGATCAGTTCAAGCCAGAAGTTACACCCAACCATGCCACAGTTAGGGGCGTGGTGGGCAGACCCAGTCCTAAGTCAATCATAGCATTACCCTAACCATAAGAATCAAGGATCATCCAACAAGCACAAAACTCAGGACCATTGTTCAGTGGTTGTTAGAAGGAACTCTCTATCTTCGTGAGGATGTAAGTGAAGAAGCATGTAATTCCTACTGCTTTTAACAGTCATCTTGTGACCATGAAGGAAAACAGTCTGAGGATAAAAGCAGATACAGATTGTAGAACAAAGCTGATATAATTCAGAGAAATGGAGCTGAAGCTTTGATTAAATCAGTTCTAAAGTTTCTCTCACCTCCATGGGACTTTTCATTTATCTAAACAATTTCCATTTATTATTTAATCCAGTTTGAATTAGGTTTTCCCAAGTGTTTTAACTCGTAGAAGGATTTTGTATCTCTAGCTTCATATTAAATGTCAGAAAATGAGTTGTCATTTTCCTAAAATGGAAAAGAATTTTCTGCCTTCTTCCCTTTCCCTTTGTCAATGTTTTCATGCCAGAATGAGATTGAAAATGATATACTGTCCCTGAGAGCAGTTCTTTAAGATTCATATGATACTCAGCTTTCACATTAAACCAATGGAAACTACTTCAAATATGTATTTGTAACATTACATATAAAAGATGGAAAGAGTAAACTGTGAAAGTCTTTAATAAGCACCTTACTGCCCCCTCCTCTAATCAGGTCTCCTTTGAATTCTATGCAGCATCTAACTCATTTATGAAATCTCCATTATATAGGAGATACATGATCCCTAACCTCACAATCATTTGCACATTGCCATTAGCTACCATTTTGGTTTGCACATTTTGGCTTGATTAATAACTGGGCAAGAATCATTCCCTTAATGTCTAAAAAGCTTTTGCAAAAAAAAAAAAAATGCTTTTGTACAGCGAAGTAAACCAACAACAAATTGAAAAGGCAACCTACTGATATTTGCAAATGATATATCTAATAAAGAGTTAATATCCAAAATACATAAAGAACTTATACAACTGAACACAAAAAAAATATGATTGACAAATGAGCAGAGGACCTGATTATTTTTTCAAAGACATACAGATGTCCAACAGACATATGAAAAAGTGTTCAACATCACCAATCATCAGGGAAAATTGTGAATCAAAACTACAATGAAATATCACTTCACACCTATCAGAATGTCTAATATCAAAAAGATAAGAAATAACAAGTGTTGGTGAGGATGTGGAGAAAAGAAACCTTCATGCACTCTTGATGGGAAAGTAAATTGGTACAGCCACTGTGGAAAATAGTATGGAGGTTCCTCAAAAAGTTAAAAATAGAAGTACAATATAATCCAGCAATTCCACTTCTGGGTATCTGAAAAAAAAAAAAAAACAACAAGAAACACTAATTTGAAAAGATGTATGGAGCCCCACTTTGTTGCAGCATTATCTACAACAGCCAAGATGTGGAAACAACCTAAGTGTCCATAAAAAGATGAATGGATAAAGAAGATATGATATACATATACAATGGAATATTACTCAACCATAAAAAAGAATGAGATCTTGCTATTTGCACCAACATGGATAGACTTAGAAGGCATTATGCTAAATAAAATAAGACAGAAAAAGACAAATATCATATGATTTCACTTACATATGGAATCTAAAAAACAAAACAGGAACACTCATAAATATAGAACACAAACTGGTGGTTGACTGAGGGTTGGGGGTGGGGAGATGGGCTAAATAGGTGAAGGAGATAAAGAGATACAAACTTGTAGTTATAAAATACGTAAGTTACGAGGATGTAAAGTACAGTATAGGAAATACAGCCAATAATATTATAATAACTTTGTATGGTGACAGATGGTAACTAGACTTGTTCTGATTCTTTTGTAATGTACATAAATGTTCAATCGCTATGTTGTACACCTGAAACTAATATAATATTGTATGTCAACTATATGTCATTAAAAAATATGAACTGCTTCTATTATTATCTCAGTGCCTAACACACAAAAGAAGTCCCAAGCCAGAAAGAGACACAAAAGAAGCCATCATTTCATCCATATAATCATTACAATAAGTTGATAAAAACTAATTTACATGATCAGTTGCCTTTAACTATGATCTCAAAATAATTACTCAGAGACGGGGCGACTGTAGATGGAAAGCACATGTGTCCACTCTACTTCCTTTACTCTTCATTATATCCTTAAAAAAAAAAGTCAGTGAAATTTAACCTCCTAAAAACATTAAAAATCAATGCTGGAATATTTTTTATAATTTGGATTAATTCTAACACCTAGATTATTCACATAGTTCCCAGTGCTTACATGTCACATCTCTGGCTGCTAAACACTACTTTTTATGATGATATTGAAAAATCAAAAAGTGAGCTAGGTTTTGTGTCTATATTAAACCATTATATTGCTTTCTTAGAAGTTACTCTACCACTTTTGCAGATGGAGCAAGCAATACTCTGGGCAAAAAGCCATGCAAGAGCTGCTACAGCAAAGATAAATTGAGTTTAAATTAAACTTTTTCAAAAATTTTGGTGCATCACAGAATTAACATATCATGAGAAAACTCTGAAGTTTGAAAAATGGAGTTTAAAAGAACATGATGGAAGCCCACTCAGCATTCTCCTGAGAGTTTGATCACTCAAGTTGACCAGGAAAAGCCAAGTATTACATATGAACAGTGGAAGACTCTTCCATTTATTTTTCTTCAAGTCTTGGATATCAAATAATTCTAATGATAAAGAAAATTTTATGTCCTTATTCCAAACTTTAACCTAGCATAGGAGGGAAAAATCATCGCAACATCTGAAAGAATGCCATTACATCTGCATTCTAACCAGAAGAAAAAAGGAAAGGAGGAAGGGAAGGTAATACCTCTTCTTTTTAAGTGGAGGGCACATAAGTGGAGTCTGACTCTGCCTGTGCATTTCTTATATTGTCAATTCAGGAGTACTTGGCAGCAATGTAAATTATAAATAAATAAAAGACTAGTCAATTTTTGCTTTGATAATAATTTTCTAAGTTCAAAAGTATAGTTATAAGAATATAAAGTTATAAGGATATTAAGGTACAGGGTGTATCAAACCTGCAGTGTCTAAATCTGTTTCTGGCAATAAGCCACAAACCCACTGCTTTTCGGGGGGAAAGGTGAATTCACTAAAAGCTAAGGCATTGTTTTGCCTGTTATTCATATTATAAGATTTTGTATGATTTTAAGATTGTAATACCTTTATCAGAATCTTTAAGATGTGTATCTTTTTTTTTTTTTTTTTTGAGCGAGAGAGGTATAACATGCACAGGGTGGGGGGAGAGGGTGAGGGAGAAACAGGCTCCCCACTGAGCAGGGAGCCCAATGCAGGGCTCAATCCCAACACCCTGGGATCATGACCTGAGCCAAAGGCAGATGCTTAACTGAGCCACCCAGGTGCCCCATTAAGATGTGTATCTTAAACCCCAACATAATTATAATAGTTTGCCTAATTTTTCTACCAAAAGTTACAATATAACAAATTTAATAATGCCTTTAGATAATAATACTACCTAAAGATTAAGCAACAATAAAATTAGCTTTTACCTTAACAAAGTTATTTTTTTTGTAAAATTCGGTTTATGAGATACCCCAAATCTAGGTTCTTATGAAAATACTTGATAATCAGGCTCCTGAGTAAAATATGGATTGTATGAATCCTGTTACAAGTATGAGCAATGTTTTCCAGTAAAATGTTATGAATCCTTGATGTCTATGTGATTATCTATTGCATACGCAACATGTTCCCCAAGTTTATAATAGCATAAAGACTTATTGTTAACAATCTGTAGTGACATGAATATGCTTTACAATCACTACATGTAAGTGTAAGATAGATAAATAGTTCCCAATTATATGTATATAAAATATACATGCATTGAGACTACCAGTCACTGTCTCTTTATAAAATTTCACTCCCCCATCAATCTCAACAAAATTATTCTCTGCTGACTGACTCTTCAGACCATTCTTGTGGTCTTCATTCCAATTCATAGAGTCTTCTTCCTTTACCCTCTCCTTCAATTAGCTGTCTGCAAGTTTCCATCCTTTGTTCTCTTCTCACTCAGATTTAGCCATTCTATGTGGGTAATTGTTTCTACTCTCCACAGACTTTGTCTCCTTAATACAAATGATTCTGGAATAACTGGTGTCTTCTGTATAAAGTCTTCTTGCTCAGTCTACATTAATACATCCTACATGTCCACAAAACTCATTCATATTATCCACCTTTGATACCATGGAAGTTTTTTTTAACTCTGCAGCCCAGAATTATCTCTTGAGCTCTGTATACACTTTACAGCTGCCTACGGGATATGCACATAGATGTCCCACAGGCAAATTACATGTTCCAGAACAAACTCATTATCCATTCTCCCCAAAACCTTTTTATTCAACCTTGCTTAATTGCTTTTGTACAATCTGCATTAGTTAGGACACTTAAGTTTCAGCAATTTTAATGAAGCCTGGAAAATACTAATGGCTTAAACAAGAGAGGTCTTGATTTCTATCTCACATGCAAACATAAGCATAGTAACCCAGGGCTGGTATGATGGCTCCATAGAGATCCAACTGACCCTCCTTACATCTTGTTACTCTCTCATTTTTAACACATGGCTTTCTTCATGTGGTCTAATTAACATGCTCCAGCTCCTGCCATTACATCTGCATTCTAACTGGAAGAAAAAAGGAAAGGAGGAAGGGAAGGTAATACCTCTACTTTTTAAGTGGAGGGCACAGAAAACATACATTTCATTTCAGTTCACATCCCATTGACTAGAACTTTGCCACATAGCCATGCTTAGCTACAAGGGAAGCTGAGAAATGCCCTCTTCAGCTGGGCAGTTTTTGTGACCTGCTAAAACTCAGGGATTCTATTACAAAAGAGGAGGGGGATAATCTATACTGGAAAACAACCATCAATCCCTCTTTCATCCAGTACGGTAAGAAACCCTTTAACCCTCTCTCCTCTATTTCATTACTGCTACTGCTTGTTAATATGTATTTATTCTTCCCATGTGAATGTACACTGGATGGTTTCTGATCCTATAATCTGAATGAGTTAGGAAAAAATGCATTCACCAAACCATTGGCTACCTTCTGTGTACCTAAGGCTGTATTTTTCACTCTAACAAAGTGGATTAACTCTAACAAAGATACCACATCTGGCATTATCAGTAGCTGTGATCAGATTGAGCTTGAGATGGTCTATGGTCATCTTCCAGGACCCATCCAGTGGGGACCACCACTCATGCATCCTTTAGATCTAGGGTCAGCAAATTTTTCTGTAAAGAACCAGATATTTAATAGTTAGGCTTTGCGGGCCATGCAGTCTCTGTTGCAGCCAGTGAACCCACTATAAGCTAAACCTTGGACAGAACTCCCATCTTTTTAACTGCCTTTCATATGTTTCTATTCTAATTGGGGGCCCTGATGATGTGTTAGGCTGCCTGGTATCAGGAAGTCAACTAAGACTCAGTGTCCAACTATTTTTGAAATGTTTGGGTACATATTTTCCTGAGTAAATAGACTTTGATCTCTTTTGGGAAAAACTATGGGAATCATAACCAGGTATATTTGCCATGGTATAACAGGGTTCATCTCCATGGGGACCCAGCCATTTTGATTAATGGATTCTGGGTCTGAAAACTGACTCAGATCCATAACCTGGGCTAGGGATTATGATACTTACATTGTGGTGGCCACTCAGCCTCCCGGGTATCCATCCTTGATTTCTTCCACAAGTACATGCTGAGTGATTCCACTGTTACTGCCCATCTATTTGCCCCCAGGGTTGTCACATTCTATTAACATTTTCCATAACCCTGTGAGCCCTGGCTGCCATTCTGACCTTGTTGGTCATTGGAATCATTGAAAACCTCTGGCTTCTGGCAGTTAAGTGCCACTTCCTGGCTTCTTTGTTTCAGAGTCCAATCATCTCCTTTGCCATCAGTGAGTCAAGTTCTATAATGACCTCTCCTACTATCAACTCTGGCATCACCAATCTACTGTTTAGAGATGCTGGTGCTTTTCTCACCAGCATATTCTTTATGGCCTTGGTAAGTTGCATGTCCAATGGGTCTTCCCATGGAACATATTCATACTGCCGGCCATATTTGTGTATCCATTCCAGCCTGCCTATTTTCCTGAGCCTTTACCCCCTTTACCACTCTTCCGTCATGGCAATCTTAGCATTTCAATTTTGCTTAACATGGACCATCTGTCTTGGTTGGCATTTAACCGTCTTTGTAATTCAGCCACTCTGACTATAAAGTCTTGGTCTTGGTCCTGAGCTTTCTGCAGCCTCTCCTTGCAGGAAATGAGAGCTTCTTTGTATGCAACCAAAGAGGCCTCCTTAACTTTCCACCCAGTTTTTTATCATTATCCTTCTGTAGAGCTGCTTAACAATAGCCATCCAATCTTATTATCTTTCTCAGCTACTATATTCTCCATACATCTCAAATAGCTGATTCATTTGCACAATTCACCAACTGAAAATTTTAACAACTGGACCTCGTGCCAAGGGCTCTGTGTGTTCCATGTACCACCACTGATAAGGTTTTTATTGCCAGAAGGCAAGGAATGGCTCAGGCCAAAATCCTATCTTATCTCTCTTGGACAACTTTTAGTACTAAATGTATCAGGTTGCATCCTCAGGAAGCATAAGCTGGGATAGAATTTATTATTATAGAATTATTAGGGGTCATACCTTAATAAGAAGAGAAAAGGAAGCAGGATTGGGCAGAGGGAGAAGATTAACTGTGATGAAGACATAATAGAGCTTCAGCCAACCCAAAAGGAAGCTCTGGAACAAATATGCCTTTCAGAGTTCTCCATCAAATCAAAATGACCAGATCTTTGTAATACCACTTCTCTCAGTCACAGATGCAGATTGCCCTGGGAAGGGTACAACCTTTGGAAAGACAGCTCTCCGCACCTGAGCATATCCTAAAAGAGCTGACAGCTATAGATTTCTAGCTGTACTTCCTACAGTTGAGAAGTCCTCCTTGAAAGAAAACCTGGTAGTGCATCTCTGTATCTAGCACATTCAACCACTTACAATTTTCTCCAATGGCTGAAGCATTCTCGTCCTTGTGCCTTTGAACATGCTGTTTCCTCTTCCAAGCATACTCTTCCTCCTCAGAAATCTGAAATTTTCAGGCTATATTAGTTGCTCATTCTCTGAAGACTGATCACATATTATTTATGCCATTATTATAGCCATTCTCAAGCTATATTTTTATATATTATTTTTATATGTTTATATTTTATATATATGTTTATATATTCATATCTCAATAATTTACTTACACCTTTGCCAATATTTTGTGAACTCTTTGAAGATAAGGATTATTTGTTTCATTTTTGTATCCTTAACATCTAAAACAATGTCTTTCACAAAAGAAATAATTAAATAAACATTTCCTAAATAAATGAGAAACTGTTTTTACCTTATCCATTTTCCTATCTCCTATGTAAAAATTAGGCCCCAAAATATTTAACTCTTTTATTTCTCTATTGCATTTTTACACAATTTTATTTTATTTTATTTTATTTCATTTATTTTATTTTTGAGAGAGAGCCCAAGTTAGAGGAATCGGGGGTGGGGGGGGTAGGTCAGAGGGAGAGGGAGAGAGAGAGAATCTTAGGCAGGCTCTATGCTCAGCATGGAGCCTGATGTGGGGCTCTATCTCAGAACCCTGAAATCACAACTTGAGCTGAAATCAAGAGTCCAACGTTTAACTGACTGAGCCACCCGGGCACCCCATTTTTACACAATTTTAAATTAATGACAGACTAGGTAGTAACATTAGAATCTAGATACTCAGTTCAGACTAATTCCCCCAGCCTTGCATTCATATATTTTACTGACTGAGAGACATTTTCTTCCGACTGCCTCAGGACCTCGCAGACTCTACATACCAATATGTTCAAAAGGGCATGCATGAATTTTTTTTATCCCCAAACCTGCTTTTTCTTCTGGACTTTCTGTCTTCTTTGATCGTGCTACATAGTACCACAGGTAGAAAACTGAGAGCTTCCCAAAACTCCTTTTGCCTTCATTGTTACTGTTCACCAAATTCTGATCACTTAACTTTTTAAATAGTTTCAGCTATATCTTCTTTCTGTCTTCTCCATTCTAATATTTATGGCAATTCAGGTATTCCTCCAGTTTTCTGGACAAATTCTTAGGTGGTCTCCCTGTCTTCTGTCTTACTACTTTAAAATCCATGCTCCACCACACTTCTCCAAATAACGTCATACTAAGTGGTGAGTGACTCAAAGCTTTCCCACTAAGATGAGAAACAAGGCAAGGATGTCCTCTCCAACCACTGCTTTTCAACATACACTGAAAGTCCTAGTTAATGCAATAAGACAAGAAAAAGACACAGATTGGTAAGTAAGAAATAAAACTGTCTTTTCAGGTGACATGATTATCTACATAGAAAATCTGAATGAATCAACAAAGACTCCTGAACTAATAAGTGAATATAGCAAGGTTGCAAGATACAAGGTTAATATACAAAAGTCAATCGCATTCTTATATACCAGCAATATACAAGTAGAATTTGACATTAAAAATACATTTATCATTTATTTTATCACCCCTTCAAATGAAATACTTAAATATAAATCTAGCAAAATATGTACAAGATTTATATGAAGAAAACTACAAAACTCTGATGAAAGATATCAATAAACTAAATAGATGGAGATATATTCCATGTTCGTGGATGAAAAAACTCAATATTGTCAAGATGTAAGTTCTTCCCAACTTAATCTATAGACTCAATGCAATTTCAGTCAAAATCCCAGCAAGTTATTTTGTGGATATTGACAAACTGAATCTAAAGTTTATATGGAGAGGCAGAAGACCCAGAATAGCCAACTTAATATGGAAGGATAACAAAGTTGGAGGACTGACAGTACCCGGTTTCAAGACCTATTGTAAAGCTACAGTAATTAGGACAGAATAGTATCGGTGAAAGATGAGAAAAACAAATCAATGGAACAGAATGGAGCCTGGAAATAGACCCACAT